GCTAGTGAAGAGTGGTTTCCAGACGTGAAGTCTAGCTGGCTTCTCTGGCATCAGCGGTTGTGCTCCTTCTCTTCCTCCCCAAAGGCTTAGTTACCTTTAGCTGTTCCTGAATTATTTTCCAGCTGTCTGTTAATAACTTCTGGTGCACATTCTCATCTTGTAGTACCTTAAAATAGATGTATACATCTTCTATGTGGTACTTTTTTCCCCAGATATCCAGTGTTTCTATCTTCTTTCTATCTTCTACCTTTCTGTCTTGGGAGATTATAACACATGTTGCCAAGCTTACTTAGTGCTGAAGCGTAATGTGATATTAAGCCATCTGAATATAGTTGAATGAATGGTTTGTTCCATTTCTTTCCTGTTGACAGTTACATGCAGTTCAACAACAATTTGATTATATTAAGCGACTTGTCCCTTGTTCCAAGAAAAACTAGGTTGCAGATCCTGTTTTAATCAATTACTTTAATGACTGTGGTTAAACCTCTTCTGTGTCTTTTTTTTTTCCCTAGTACAGAGCAGTATTCAGAGGTTCCAAGAGAAGTTTTTTATCTTTGCTTTAACACCTCAGCAGGTCAGAGAAATCTGTATTTCCAGGTAAGAATTAAGAGTGTGGCATAGTTTAGGTAAACTTTTGCAAAACTTCAGGAGAAAGTGTGGGGTTTCTCGTTCACTTTATGCATCGCTGAAGCTTGCAGATGCAGAGTGATAATCCTCACTGAAATTATGCTGAATTTATCTGTTCTGCACACAAAACTTATGTGTGGTTTGGGTTAATCCTACTCCATTAAAGAGTTAGCAATTACTCAGTTCCAAATAATTGAGACTATTTAGAAAGGTGGTATGCTTTTCTTCCCTGAATGTTTCTTGGCTGCAGGAATGGAAAGCTGCTTTTATCTCTTGTCCCAGAGTTTGTGTCCTTGCAAGACCTATGGTGTAAGCCAAGAGAATTCATAGGGTTTTTTCCTCTCTAGTGGCATCATATTTTGTTGTTTCTATAAATCCTTGACAAAGCAGGATGATCCTAAATTCCTGTTTGACTTGCAGTAACTAAACGGAGGTGTTGCTCGTAAGACTTGTTCATAGCTCCATAAAATTAAAATAAGAGCAAAGTTCAGTGATGTTGAGGCAGATGTACCAGTTATGTCTGCATATGACTGGAATACGAGATCTGCTGTCTAAATGGGTACTTCTATTTTTTCTTTCTCTTTGTCACAGGGACTTCTTGCCAGGGGGCAGGAGAGATTACACAGTCCAAGTTCAACTAAGGTATCTTCTTCAGTGTTCTCTTATAACTTCTAAATTGGCTAATGTAACATAAGTCTACAGGTTTGTGAGGACCTATTAATGTGGTGACA